TTAGTCAAATTAGGCTACAGGTGGCTTAAGGCCAAAGCTACAAGGATGGTAACTCAGGACCAAGCTCCTTTCATCCGAATAGCCTTTGAAAAATCCATTTGGTCTCTTAAATTCAGTCAAAGGTGTGACATCTTTTATAACATCCCAACAATTTAAACTAACACAATAAAATAAATTAAAAATTAATCAGGATTAAGATGAGGTTAAGTTTTGAGAATTTTATTCTGAATCATATTTTTTTGTAAAAGGAGGACAATAAATAATGTTAGGTGGAATTAAATTAAATTATTTAAGATATAGTTTTAACTTAACATATTATAAATAACTTAATCTTGTGAAAATTTTATTTGAACAAAAATATACAAATTTAACTCAATCTTTGCAATTTTTGGAGAGCCTAAGAAGATATATATATATATATATATATCTATATTGGATAGAATTAAGGGGAAAAAAGGAAGAAAAGGAAATAAAAAGGTTGAACAAGAAGGGGAAAAAGAAGATGGAATTATGGGAATTTAGTAGCACGGCCCACTATTGCAATTTTTGGAGAGTCTAAGAAGATCTATATATATATCTATGTTTGTGTTTTGCGTATGTATAAGATAATTGTGAGGGTAAAAAACAATAAATTGAAGAATAAAATACAAATAATATCCTTAAATAATAAAATATTTTTTATTTTTTAATATGCATCGGGTAAAAAATTATAAATTATCTATATAATGTACAGTTTAAAGGGGTTTACTATTTATCACTAGTTTTTCCATTGTAACCCGTTAAACTTTAGGTTAATATGCAATTGAATCTTAAACTATAGGTTCAAGAGTAATTTAAATACCAAACTTTTATTTAATACATTCTGAATCTTAAACAATTAAAGTTAAGATAATTTCACCCCCTTGTTAAATTTAAACAAACGGCCGTTAGTTTTTTAAACAATAGAGCCCAATGTATGATTTTTTTCTTAAAGGAGGGTAGGAGAGAGGGGAAGGGGAATTTGCTGCAACTCACACATTAAGCCCTATTTTTTAAAAAAGTAATGGCCGTTTTTTTAAATTTAATGATGAAATGAAATTGTTTTAATTTTAATTATTTATGATTCAGAATTTACCAAATAAAAGTTTAGGATTCAGGATTCAAATTGTATATTAACTCTTAAACTTTTTTCAAGAAATATATTTTTAGTTTTTTTACTATTTTTTATAGTTGGGGGAAATTTTGAGAAATTGTGTTAGTTAATGGATAATTTTTATTATTTCAAGTCTTAACATACTTGAAATGACAAATTCTACATAAAATATGTTTTAATTTTAATTTTAAAAATAAGTCATCATTCATCCCATATAAATTAGAAAATAAAATAAATTTACGTGGCATGAACGATGACTTATTTAAAAAGAAAAAATTTCATGTCGAATGATCATGTGTGCCTTATAGTACAACTGATAGGTGAGAGAGCTATCATGTGTTTATTGTATTTTTTATATGTATAAGATAATAAATGGTAGAATAAACAAATCTAAATGACAATTTATACAATAATTTTTTTATTATTAAAATTTTAATTTATGAGTGAATATCACATATTATAAAAATAAATTATTATTTATATTTTTAACATATAAAGAGTAACAATTTTTTTATTTATATTTTTTTAATGTGTATAAGGTATGCTATTTATGTTTTCAATATATGCGTAGATAAAAATTTAAAATAAGACAAGGAGTTATTTAAATTTTAATTTTTGGTAGATAACACATAAATTTTAAATTTTAATTTATAAAATAGAATTTCATTTTTTATATAAGTTCGAGTGTCACAAGTCTTTGATCCAAACTTATCAGGTTGGTAATTGAGAGCACCTCTTTGGAGGCATAAAATAATAATTTTAAAACAAAACTTACTTTTCATATGCATCTCTTAAATTTCTCTTAGTTTAATTGATGTTTTTCTTGTCATGCAATACAAGTAATTGATAAATAGTACTACTATCAATCCTATACATGAATCACTTTCTATAAGTAGATGTTCTATTTGATGTGTTTCTTCGCATGAAAAATGGATCATTAATTTTTTTTTTCAGTTTTACTCTTTAATATTTTTTATAAATAGAAAACAAAGTTACATAAAAAAGAAAATTATCTTTTAAATGTGATGCATTTAATAAATCTAAATTAATTTTTTTCTTTTTGAGACAACATTAATGATTTAACTACATTTCTTTGATTATAGTGAGTTAGTTAAAAGTGACTTATATTGGCTATGCTATTTGCTTAATTTTAAATCATTATTTAATACATACATATTTTTTACTTATTTTTACTTTTGGCTATAATTGTAATTTATAAATACTATTATAACATAAATTAAAGTGTAGAGTTTATTATAGCATATATTTTATTTTTCTTAGGAGGATGCATAGGTCAACAGATTCTGAAAAAAAATAAGTTCATTGTATTTTAATATGCAAGAGGTGAGTAAATTTTAAAAAAATCCTATTTATATTTTTTTATATACATAATGCCTTAATGTATATAAAAAAGTTACCTTTATGACAAGGGTAACATATTACAAAATAGAAATTGTTTCTTAGATTTTAATTTACACAGGATAACCAATAGTGGATTAAGGAGTATTTCTTGAGGGAAAATACTTTTGTTCAATTAATTATGGGGGGAGAATTTAGTAGGAAGTATGTTTTTAAACTTGATTTCAAATTTTTTTCGCATAATAATTAAAGGAAAAGTGCAAATGTACCTCTAGGATAACAAACTTTAAGAAAAAATAAGTAATTACTTATATCTTTAATATGTATGGGCAATTTTTTTTAATATAGAATACATTATTATTTAAATTTTAATTTGTATAAATTAAAAAATATGATATTTTGAGAACATAAAAATAAGTTATTTTTTAATCTATATATTTTTGTTCATTTTTATCTTTTAAATATTAAAATTTTCCCTGCATTGTATAGGGAATAAATCTAGTTGAACTGTATATTTCTATTTATTCAATCCACACTCCATTGAAGTGTGAGACATAATTATTTATTTATTTATTTATTTATTTATTTTCTCTCATGGTTAGTTGGTTTGTTTATATATTTAGAAGAGGTGTATCATTTGTCATTAATATCTTGGAGGAGATAATATTTACTATTGTCGGAGCTTTATGCTTACCAAAAAGAAATCCAAGAAGAAATTAAAAATAGAAAAAGAACACTATACATCATCAAACCAAAATTTTCATGGGGACAGCAAATCAAAACTGATTGAGATATTCTTTTGATGACAACTTCTCTATTAAATCTACTTATAAAGCTACTGAGAATTGTGAGGGAAATACCAATGCTAAAATTTGGTCCACCATCTGGAAATGGCATATTTATAAAAAAATCAAGTTCTTCCTCTAGAAGGCTATATGGAATCGCCTCCACACCAAATTTGTCAATATTGAAAATGTGAATCCTTTCATAAAAAATTGTCCTTTTGGTTGCAATTCTCTTGACTCTTTCATTCACATTTTATGCAATTGCACTAAATCAAGACAAGTATTGATGAAATTAGTAAAGTCTTGTAAACTTAACATTTTCTTCTCCCTTTCCTTGCAAGATTGGATACTTTGGAATACAAAGAATAATGTTGGAGGCCCGAATACTAGAATCCCTTGGAAAAAGCTCTTTGCTCACATTTGTTGGAACATTTGGAAAGACCACTGCTCTAATATATATTCTAAATAACACATTCCTGACAAAAGACATCATCTTCTGTAGCACCCAAAGCATCATCAATGATCGTTATCTTCAAGTTCAACTCGAAAATGTGCATTTAGAGCATAACAGATCTTTTGCTAGATGGATTCCACTCAAACCTGGTTGGGTGAGATTGGATGTAGATGGCTCTGTCTACACCAATGGAGTTGCATCTTGTGGTGGCCTTATTCGTGATTACTAAGGTAATTGGATAAAAGGTTTTATCAAATATCTTAGTTATCATCCCAGTACTATCACTAAGCTCTCAGCGATTCTTGAAGGTCTTTTTCTTTTTTGGGGGTGTAAATTCACCCACGTCAATGTTTACTCCAACTCTCTTGAAGCTTTGTTACTTATTCAGCATTACTACAACCCGAACCATCCCTTCAATGAAACTATAAAGAAAATCAGAGGCTTTGCCATGAAGTATTGGGTTATCAACTTTAACTATGTGTTTAGAAAAGCCAACAAGTGTGTGGATTGGCTTACTCATCAAGCATTGAACAATAATAACGACATCTTGATTTTTGATGACCCTCCACCAGAATGTTGCACTCTTATACATCTTTTGATTTGACCTAATTTTGTAAGGTTTTTCATGGTCTTGTATTAAAAAAAACTGATTGAGATATATTGAATCATAGTTGAAGGACTAAATCATAATTGATTCAAAACTTGAAGGACTAGAAGAATTTTTCCTTTTTAAAGTATACATCGGTGATTAGAATAGGTTTTACAGCCCAAATTAATTATAAAATGATTATAAGCCATTTTTAGAAAAGTCCTCATTCTAATATATATATATATATATATATTATGTTGTTTTTTTACCCTTAGTCCCAAATACCAACGCATCTTATGATAAGTAAGAGATAACTTTACATAAGAATCTAGATCAAAAAAATACAAGAGGTAAAATGTGGAAAATAATATTTACATGTACAAAGTCGCTCATATTTTGAATCAAGGTTAGATGAGAGAAAATGCTTATATTTTGAACAGAGAAACAGCATTAACTTGTCTAGTAATTTCATAATTTAAAAAAGCTTTTCTGAAGGGTCATGAGTTTGCAAAAGAAATTTAATTTGTAAAATATGAAACCAATCCTAATATGCTAACCAGCTTTGTCAATTAGCCTCCGTTGGCCATGCAAAGTAAATAACACGCTGAAGCGATCTTGAACGACAATGATGCCAACAAGTAAATTATAACACAAATTGTAAAATAATTGAATTAAGCTTTTTCAAGAGTCTTGAGTTCCCATTGCATTCCGGATTACTTCTTCCTAACCAATTGCCATGAAATGGACTTAGTGAATGCCACAGTCTTCTTTTTTGCATTCACATAAAGTTTAATTTAAGACCTTACTTAAAATGATACAACTTTCTCCACTAGAATCAATGTCAATTAGAAAAGATGTTTACCTTTTAATAAAGCAAATATTATATGTGATTAATTAATATTTATTTGTATATTTCTGGATACCCAATCCAAATTATATAGAAAGTGAGTCTCGTAATTAATTAATAGTTATGTATTTATTTTTTCTTGGATAAATTGGTGCATTGGTCAAAAAAATCTTGTGCCTAGAAAAAAATGGACCAATTTTTTGAAAATTTGGGAGTCAATTTGAAAATTCACAAGGAATTTATTATTAATATATAACAGTGTATCATTAATAAATATAATAAACTAGCCATAATATATAATATAGTAAATATTAAGCTGTTTGTTTAGTTTAATTCTTTAACATTGAATTTTTTTTAATTGAAGTCCTTCATTCGTTATCCAAACTTTTAGCCAAGCATTTGAAGTGTCTAACACAACGGCGAGCACAATCATTCTACGGCTACAAGGTAGTGAACTACAATCTTCAACAAACACAGAACATTATATGACAATCTGCTTCTCGAATTTTAACAACATTCAAAACAAACTTCGACAATATAACACTAAAATATAATTATTATACATGCTTTGAATCCACTTCTTCATTACTTGGAGGATAGAAAATATGGTCTGAACCACGGAGAGAATGAGGAAGATGATTCCAGCAATAGAGACGATAATTTGCCATGGTGTACGACAATAATCAAGTCTCAATGCTGCCTTCTTCTTGTGCCAACAATCTTCACAAAATCCATTCAACCTTTGACAAATATCCATATATTCACTACTTAAACCTGTTTGGATGACATTTATGCAGAGACCATGAACTACTGTTGCAACATTGTTAGTGTCACCTCTACGAGTGCTCACTATTTTCTTTTGGACCAGAACATCCACATCTTTATGAGTGTTGATTAGGCAATCCAGTATAAAAACATAGTCCATAATGTAAGATTCATAGGGATAATGACGTTGCTCCAAAGCTATCATATTACGAACTAAAATTTCTGCTGGATATATCACCAAAGTTTGTGGGATCTCAACAGCATGCCCAGAAAATTTCAAGTCTAGTAAACACTTACTTGTGCCTGCCTTCTACTTTACTCCCGTTCTTGTAATTCATTTGCGCTATATAAAAGAACATGGTTATTTGCTTCCATGAATGAATTCCTCTATGGTATTTTTGTTGGTAAGTAAAATAGTCTAAAAAGATCTGTAAAGTGTCTTATCCTTACTTTGGAATTAGGCGCTAAAGTTTGGGTATTAAAATATTTAAAGTAATGGTATGAGAGCCCAAGAAATGAAAGGAGGTCACCCCAAAGGTTATTGGGGAAGGCTTTATTGAATAGTTCTTTAATAACAAAGAAAGGAAGCTGGTTCTCAAGTAAAACCAAATCCATACTTATAGCAACTATCAACCAGGGTTGTGAAAGTTTAGCATCACTACGAATCTCATCATGAAACTTATGGTACCTGATGAAGAGTTCAATGATGAAACCAGCATCCACTAATATCAGTTTCACAAGTTCTTCTTCACTAAGTTTGATGCTGTCAGAGTAAGATGCACGAACTTTTGGCTCTGTATGCTTTACAAAACTAACCAAATCACCCAAGCTTGACATGGCTCTTTGCGTAAATTCTTTGAAGAAAACTTTTTTGTGCTCTTCCATATCTTGCAGTATCTTATCATCATAATGAAAGGGGCCAATCGATGTAAATTTTGGGGTGTAAGCCTTTTCATTTAGATAACGAATTGTAGGAGGTACCCTGTAGATACAACAGGCTGGTAACAAGCGACCGTCTTTGCTATCATCTACTTCTATCAGTTTTTTGATATCAACTATGAGTTCTTTCTGCGTTCTGTTCGCCATCTCCAAATGAATCTTAGTGTCTTCGGTAATTTGTAATAGCCACAAATTAAATTTTTTAAAATAATTTGATGACTAATTTTGTCCATTTTTGTTATTTGCATATATATATATATATATATATTTTTGCATACCCTTATCTTTAACCGTTGAAAAATGAAACCAAACAAATTAATCAAGGCCACATGAAGTAATGATAGTGATTGCTTCACAAGTTAATGTCTTGCACGAAATTTTTAGTCCACATCTCTTTGTAAAACGACAACAGGTATATGGTGGGAACATAATAATTAATAACAATCAGGCACCTTAGATTTGCAAAATGATATCCAAGACTTAAGATTCACATTGTTAAACAAGAAAGATTAATCAATAATACCGAACACTTTTTTCAACAAAAATTATATATATTACTACATAGTTAAGTTGCAGATACATGAAGATGTTAACACGTATGAACCTTTTCCGGGAAAAAAAAACACGTATGAAAAAAAAATTCATATTTGGTGGGTAATGCTCCCTCCAATCTTAATTACAAGGCAAAGTTAGAAGGCCCTATTTGCTAACAGGGTTGGATCAAGAGGAAGGGATTAATTCCTCATAATGTGACAAACCAAGGGTTTGGATCTTTTGCTATGAAAAGTGCCCACATTTAATGTCTAACTATGGCTCAAAGAGAATTACCTCCAATAAAAAGATACCTAGCTATGAGCAATAAAAAAATGGCCCTATTTGATTTAAAATATAGAACAAAGACTTTCTCCCTTCGTTCAATTTAAAAAGCATTTTTAATTGAATTACACTTTCCATTAAGTTAGTTAATTATTTTTAAAATTATACTCTTTTTCTATGTGTACTCCTATTTACTATGATGTTTTAATTATAAAATTTTATCAATTATACACCTAAGTAAGGGTATTTTTGAAAAAAAAATCATTAATTGCATTTTAAAAGACACAAAATGCCTAATATTTTTAGTATCTTACCTTAAAAAATTAACAGAGAGAGTAATATTCTTTCCCAGTTACCTCCTATGTATACAATATCAAGTTGTTGGCATATATTTAGTTCTAGTAAAATACTTTATTATGAATGTTAATTTCAGCTAAAGGTAAAATTGGAAAGCTATACATTTTTCTTAGGGTTAAGGTATAATTTTATCTCTGAACTATTTTTTCAAGAAGCGAAAATCCATTTTCTACTAACATAGCATGTGTATGAGGCCCTTGTATAGTGACTTGTAGGATTTTGACCATGCTCTTTAGTTCTAACTTGCTCTTGAACTCTTTTTTTATGAGCACTAGTCATGGAAATTATATTTGATTTCATTTAGGATTTATTAAGATTTGATTTAGGGTCTATTAAGTTTGATTTAGTATTTAGGGATTGATATTATTTCTTTAATATCTTAGATTTAATTTTATCTTTAAATGTTATCTAAAATAAAATTAGATATCTATATTAGGTAGATACCTTATAGTCCTCTTTTAAAATATTTAGGTTTAGATTTATTATTATTTTTATTATTTTTAGAGCTCTATAAATAACTCTAGAGTTCTTTAATTGTATTCAATTTTGACATTTAAATAAGAATTATACATTTTTCTCTTCCTCTTCCCTTCTCCCTCCTCTCTCTTCCCCTCTCCTCTTTCTAGTTTCACATCAATTGGAAACCTAAAGTCTTTTTTAGGAGTGTTAGACATCCTAAAGTTTTATTAAAATAAAATTTAATAAATGTCACAAAAATATTAAATATTTTAATATTTAATAATTTAAATATTATTATTTATAAATATACATCCAAAACTTGCAAATAATTTTTTAAGTGTTAACAGCTTAAGCTAGTTTTCTTAGAAATGTATAGATGACTTGTAATTTTTATATATCAATCATATTTTTAATATTGATTAAGTTTCTTAAAATTTTAAGTCATTTTCTAAAATTTTTTTGATCAACTAACAATTTTCCAACAAAATATTGCACCACCAAATTTAATACTTTCTATATGTTGCAATGTTAGGGGTACAATAAGAAACGTAACATATCATGACCAACATGCTAACCAAAATGTTTATTTGGAAGATATCACTAGTCCCATTAATATGCTATAAAAAAAGCTACTTAACAAGAGAATAATGAAGAGATGAAGAGAAAAAAAATTCCTCTATTAATTTGGAGTTCATTCCCTTTGTTTTTAGTACAAAGTTGCAAAATATAAAAGTATTAAAAATATTAAATTGGTTGTTGCAGTATTTTGGAGGAAAACCATTAGTTGATCAAAAATATTATAGAAAAGGACATAAAAAATTCAAAGAACTTAATAAATATTAAAAACATGATCGATATATAAAAAATTATAAGTCTTCTATAAATTTCTAAAAAAATTAGTTTGAGCTATTAATATTTTAAAAAAATTTTATAAATTTTGCATGAATATTTTATAAATAATAATATTTAAATGATTAAATATTAAAATATTTAAAATTTTAAAAATATTTATTAAAGAGTTAGAATGCATTTTCCCCTATACTTTTATTAAAAGAGTATTGTGCACCCTGTATTAATAAGTGGGGCATTTTTTATCCTAAGTTTTGGGGTGTAAGCCGTTTCATTTAGATAACGAATTGTAGGAGGTACCCTTTAGATACAACATGTTGGTAACAAGCGACCACTTTTGCTATCTTCTATCAGTTTTTTGATATCAACTATCACTTCTTTCTGCATTTTGTCCACCATCTGCAAATGAATCTTATTGTCTTCGGTAATTTATAATAGCCACAAATTATTTTTTTTTGAAATAATTTGATGACTAATTTTGTCCACTTTTGTTATTTGCATATATATATATATATATATGTATATATTTCGGCGTACCCTTATCTTCAATCGTTGAAAAATGAAACCAAACAAATTAATCAAGGCCACGTGAATAAAGTAGTGATAGTGCTGTCATCACTAGTTAATGTCTTGCGCAGAATTTTTAGTCCACATCTCTTTGTAAAATGACAAACAGATAAATGGTTGGAACATAATAATTAATAACAATGAGGCCCCTTGAATTTGCACAATGATATCCAAGACTTATGATTCTCATTGTTAAACAGGAAAGATTGATCAGTAATACTGAACACTTTTTTTAACAAAAGTTATATTAGTACGTAGTTGAGTTGCCATGAAGATGTAAATGCGTATGCCAAAAATAAAAAATCACATTTGGTGTGCAATGCTCCCTCCAATCTTAATTACAAGGCAAAGTTAAAAGGTCCTATTTGTTAATAGGATTGGATCTAGAAGAAGGAATTAATTTCTCAAAACATGACAAACCAAAGTTTGAATCCTTGCTGAGAAAATGCACACATTGAGTATTTGACCATACTTTGAACAGGATTGCCTCAAATATAAGGATACCAAGCTATGAGCAGTAAAAAAAAAAGGACTCTATTCAATTTAAAAAATAGAACAAAGATGCACTTCCTTTGTTCAATTTAAAAAGCATTTTAATTGAGTTACACTACCCAATAAGTTAGTTAATTGTTTTTAAAATTAGACACTCTTTTTATATTTACTCTTATTTATTAGAGTGTTTTAATTAGAAAATATTATTAATTATACTCCTAAATAACGGTTATTTTTGAAAAAACTTCATTAATTACATCTTGAAAGACCCAAAATGCCTAATATTTTTAGCATATTGCCTTAAACAAATGCATTATACTTTTGAACAAATAGAGTAATATTTTTTTTCCCAATTGCCTCCTATGTATACAATGTCATGCTGTTGACATACTTTTAATTATAGTAAAATAGTTTATCATGAACGTTAATTTTAGTTAAAAGTAAAATTGGAAAGCTATACATTTTTTTAGGGTTAAGCTACATTTTTGTTTCTAAACTTTTTTTGAGGAGCATTAAAAATCCTATACTAGCAAGTCAGGCAATTTACCCCCGAATTAAAATTTTTTTTTATTAGTCAACCATTAACTTTATCATTTTCTGCTTACATATCATGTGTGTAGGGCTCACGTATAGTGACATGTAGGACTCTAACCATATTCTTTGATGCTAATTTGCTCTTGATGTTCTTTTTTAGGAGTATTGGACACCTTGAAATCTTATTAAAATAAAATTTAATAAATATCATTAAAATGTTAAATATTTTCATATTTAATAATTTAAATATTATTATTTATAAATATTTATCCAAAATCTATAAATTATTTTTTAAATATTAACAGCTTAAACTTTTTAAGCCCTTCTCCACAGTTTCCTTTGTCAACTAACAATCTTCCACTAAAATATTTTTAATATATTAATCATATTTTTAATATTCAAATTTTTAAGTCCTTCTCTATAATTTTTTTGTCAACTAACAATCTTTCAGCAAAATATTACACCACCCAAAGATAACATTCTCTGTATGGTGTAATGTTAGGGATACAATCAGAAACATAACAGATTAGGATGAACATGCCAACAAAAATGCTGATTAGGAAGATGTCACATGTCCCATTAATATGCTACAAAAATGCCACTTAACAAGAGAATAATGAAGAGATGAAGAGAAAAAATTCCTTTGTTAATTTGGGCTTCATTCTTTAGTGAAAAAAAATAGAGTTCATTCCCTTTGTTTTTAATACAAAGTTGCAAAATATCAAAATATCAAAATATTAAATTAGTTGTTACAATATTTTGGAGGAAAACCATAAGTTGATCAAAATTATTATAGGGAAGGACTTAAAAATTTTAAAGAACTTAATCAATATTAAAAATATGATCAATATATAAAAAAATTACAACATCTGTAAATTTATGAAGTAACTATTTTGAGCAATTAATATTTAAAAAATAATTTATAAATTTTGAATGAATATTTATAAATAATAATATTTAAATTATTAAATATTAAAATATTAATAATATTTATTAAAGGGTTAAAACATATTTTCTCCCTATACTTTTATTCAAAGAGTATGGGGTACCCAATCATAATAAGTGGGAAAAAT